TGCATTGTTTAATTATTTTGTCCTGACTTTTAAACACCATTATATGAATGAATGTTGAGTGCTGTGATACTTAAGCTGCACAGTCTGAGGTAGTACTTCATAAACTATATTTGTGAGTAAAGATTTATGATTATATTTACATGCTTGTAAGCTGCATGAGTTTCAGACAGCTTTAACAAGGCTTGATTTTCTGATATTTTGATTTTGCATATCAAATTACAAGCAACATTTCACAACTAAAGCATATTTTTATGCAGGTTTTCCTTTACTTTCCTCTCATTTTACTGTTAAACATTTTTACAGAGAAAATGCTCATATACATTAAACATAGGATATTGAGGCTTTAGATATAATGTCTTTAAGCATTTTTATCATAGTATTAATAGCAGTCTGTGTTATGATTTCAGTTCAGAATGAGCTATGCATGGATCAAGTGTGTGATGATTATTGGCTTTCATTTGATAAATGTGCTAATGATCAGGAAATTCTTGTCTACTTGGCTTGTTGAATGCAGGATAATAGAAATAACACATCTGTGTAGTAAGCATAATAAATTCCTACTGTCAAAGACTGTTCTCTTCAATAAGGTGTGCATGGAATAATATTATGATATTATTCTGAACTATTACAGATTATCCATTGAAATGATAACTGCCAGCAGCTTTCTAGATCAGGCTTAATGGAACACACACAGTGAGCTGATAGATAACTAAACATATGAAATCCCAAGTAGTTCTTGGATATACTTGCTTCAACTCTATTCCTAATGATAAGTAAGGATTGCTAAGTATGAGTAAATTATTTAATGTTTTCAGCATACTTGCAGAAACGATTATGAAAATGATTGTGCATGAAATTGAAATATCACACCAACAGTGCAAGGTTTATCATCAGTTTAGTACAGTTAACCTTTCATGTTGATTTGCAGCTGTTAAGTTACTAATGTCTGAGGAAAGTATAATAATGCTAACTTAATGCAGTGATTTTTATATATACATTTAAAAAATCCAGGTAAAGAAGAAATGTAACTTGTTATGTATTCTAAACCAAGTATGGGAAAACAGAATTACACACCCTTTATGTAAAACAAACAGTATTACTACCACACCACACAGTTGGAAAAGCACTGCAGTATTATACTTTATGCATCTGGTTTAGGATTTCATCATAAGCCACATACCTTTTCCCCCACAATGCTTGGCTTACATGCATGTAAATATATTTGTATTTTATAATAACAGCAGAGCTTGTTGTCAAATCTTTAGCATATAAATGTGTATTATGTATGTATGCTACCTCTATATTAACCCGCTCATGCTAGGTAACGTCTAATCATGTCATGGCGAATGCGCTTCAAATGCAGAGTGAAGAGCATCCAAGCAAAGAGTGATCATGCCTGCTCAAGTTGGGTGCACTAAACAGTTGTTCACTTGGTTGACCTTGACTGCCGTTATTGAGGAGATGCAACCCCTCATTCGTAGGCTTTTTAGCCACAGATCTTTAAAAATTGTGTATGTCAGCCAAATGTGTATAGAATTTCCAGTTTTTCACTCAAGCAGCTGACTGCAAAGACTCATTGTGAGTTATAAATATTTGTTATCCTTGATTAAAGGAAGGGAAACTAATTTTCTGTTACATTACACAAAACAAGTTATAATGTGTATTTTTTAGTCTTTTTTCTATGTTTTTGGTTTATTTCTAACTGACATCTTTTTATATTCACATTCAACTTATTTACAGGAGACTGTATTTTTACTTTTCTTGCTTTTAATATTTAATAAATACAAAATCCATTCAATGTTAAGTATGTTAAACTAAATTATTCAATGTAATTCACAAGCCACTACTTAAGTGTTACAATGATTTTATATATATATATATATATATATATATATATATATATATATATATATATATATATATATATATATATATATATATATATATATATATATATATATATATATATATATATTTACACACATATATAAACATACACACACACACACAATTGTGTTAAATTATGCTAAGTAGCTCTAGAATTCAAGAGTAAGGAAAGTTCAAAAAACCAACTTGCCTCTGGTTTGCAGTTTTAAGGCAGTAGAGTTTTGGATCACATCTAACATGGTTCTCAGTTCTCGCCTCAACTAATTTTGCATGGTCTTTTCTTCTTTCCTTTTCCTTCATTTCTTCATCTCTTCTTCTATTCACTTATCCTAATCTTTAACTCATTTTTAACCTTTTTTTGCTACTCTACTTTACCCTAATGCTATATGACCTTTGATATCTGGCAGAGTTATTTATTTAGAGCATTGACCATTCTAGAAATCTACAAACATTGCCTTGTGAACAAAATAAAAACTTCTTACCTGGGGACTTTATCACTATATATCACTAATGACCTTACATGTTGACATGCCAGAATTTTTAAAATAAATAAGTAAACAGTCATTAGTTGAAAAAGGCTATCCACAAGATGCAAATCTTGCCTTTGCTACATGTGTGTTCTATATGTTCATGCAATATTTTGAATCATTTTCATTTCTACTTACTTTAGAACAATACATTTTATGTTTTAAGTCTTTACTGACAACATGGAAAAAAAGCATGGTATATATCCCTACAATGAATTTGTCCTATGTCCCCACTTTCCCACAGTAGTAGTCCACTGACTACTTGTTAGTGATGATACTAGGGCTGGAAAAAAAAGTTTTTTTTTTTTTTTTTATGTTTGGGTTTTGGGTTGTTGTTGTTTTTTTGAGGGGGTTTAATGCGTTTTACTGTTTTTTTTTGTTTTTTTTTATAGACATTAATTTTGATTAGTCATTATACAAAAAAATTGTTTTACAATAATTTACCACTAATTGAATGTTATTATCTTGTTTTTTCTATGCATGTCTACATCTCAGGTTTTATATATTATACAGTATAGTGTATAGTATGAGGAAATAAATCAAAGATATTTATCAATGTCAGTTCAGATAAACTTTTAATAAACTGAATTGAAAATTACAACATAGAAAAATAGAAAGTAAACCATATTGACCAGTAGCCTAGTAGTCTAGTAATGTAATTTAAATAATTTTACTGTTTTTGAAATCTACGGTCATTGCCATAAACTTGTATAGAATCACTGTTTAATGTATAGGCCCATATATCGAGAAAGACAAGAAAACGCATTTAGGTGCTTGCATAAAATTTCACTTTTCAGGTTTAATAGGAAAGTTAGCAATAAAAACGTGTGGACGTGTAGATGAGATGTTGCAAAGTAATATGCCACCGAAAAGCAATACCTACCAAAAACTAAGAATTGGATTTTTCACGGATGTTTGAAAATGGACAATTTTATACATAACATAGAAGGCTTCATCGCTCAGTCGCTCACGTCCAGCCGGAAGTGAGAATAGCGGGCTAACAGTAACCGTAATAAGGCATATAGATGCAAAGTTTTGTAGGATAGATATTATCTTTGTTAATTTATGTTATAAAATTATAATATGAATGAATTTGTTACAAACTTAAAATTATAAATAATTTTAGTTAAACAAAAACAAAAAATCCAAAACCCAGAAATTTTTTTTTTTTTTTTTTTTTTTTTTTTTTTTTTTTTTTTTTTTTTTCAACATAAAACCCAAAGTTAAAAAAAAACAATTTGCCAGCCCTGGATAATAATGGTACTATATTTTAGTCTGTTGTTATAATTAGAAATTTAAAGACTTTCTTTGCTTGCCTGCATTTAGTTGTGAGCTGCTAGTGGCAACCAGGTATGTCACCACCGATAATTATGTTATAGATAAAAGCTTAAATTAGGAAAATATTTGAAAAATTGGTGTGAGGGTATACCCTCTCTCACAATAGAGTGTAAATACAGTTAACCCTGCAACACCAGTGCCAGAAATTTCTGTGTCACTCATTCTGGTGACATCTGGCAACCATCTAGCCATTTGGCCAGGGAGTTCGGTACATATAAAGGAACTTCTCGCTCAACTTGCTTTGGCATGTGGTAATGAGTTGGATTTTCATGACAGATCTAGACATGCCCGGCTACAAGAGGTTCAAGATGGGTAAAATCTTTGAAAATTGCCTGAAGACTACTGCTTACTCTTCAGTGAAGTGCCCCCCCCAATCCCTTGCCCGTTGTTGTCGTGGGGGGTCTAAGGAGGCGGAGACTGGGACCCAATGATGGGGAACTCCCCAACCTTGGGACTCAGCCCTCAACTAATTATGCATGGTCTTTTTTTCCCTTCCCACTTTTGTTTCTGTCCCTTCACCAAACCCTTCTGCTATCCACCTCCTAAGGTGTGAGAGCCGTGCTGAAAGGATGAAAGGCTGACTTTGTGCCAGTCCTGAACAGCCTGTGGGAGCCATGGGCACGGTATTCCCCTGATTTAGTATCTAGCCCTTACCCCTCAAGGGGACCCTGAGGGGTGGACTGTTTTTATCCCCAACATAACCAGGCTTACCATGGCCAGTAATGAAAATATATCCCCACTGTTAGGGGCAATGAGGCTTGCCCCTTTATCAAATAGCCCCAACGAAGTAAACCCACCCGATTCCCTGATCCCAGGCTCTCCTTTGACCACAGCTCCGAACACTGCAATAACTACCCCTTCACCAATGCCTACTAGTACAGTAGCCAACAATCAACCCTCAAGGAACATTTCCACTCTCCCAGCATGCCCAACTTCAACACCTCTACCCCCACAACCTCCAACATCAACCACCCCATCCTCCCTTATTAATACCTTACAGCCTTATAGCCCACCTCTCCATAACACTACCTCCATCAACACTACTCCATCTTCGTCACGCCCTCGCCCTTCTACCACCCCTATCTCTAAAACAATCTTGAATACTCTCTTCAGTGCAGCCAAATGGGACCGATTTTTCGTGATCCCTCCCACAGCTCCCTACTCTGACAACACCCTTCTCTTCCAACAATGCCTCCAAAAACAAGTAGGTAAAGTCTCTTTCCGTAGCCGACCCGACCGCTCCCGTCT